TTGACTTCAACACAACGGTCCCAGAGAGGAGGCAAAATGGCAGCTCTTCATTGATAATTAGGTGAAATTTGGAGCTTGCAGGTGGAAAAGAGGACAGCAATGTTAACATCTGGGAGGGACCTGAAACATCTTTTTTGATCAGAGTTCCCCTGTTCCACAAATATCCCCTGAAATTAAAAATTGGGCATTTCACACCATTAAAACCCCCTGACCCACCAACAAAATAGTCAGAAAAAACACCTTTTGGTGGAAGCCAAGCCATAATTCACATGGTTAAACCATGAATTGAACTTCCGAAACCTAATCCTCTTTGTGATGGCTGATGGGAGAAGCCAGTCGAGAAAGTGGTTGAAGCGGGTATTGCTGACCATGTCACAGGGGAAGCCGTGGTCCGAGACCCGTCTGAACACCCACGTGCTGCTCCTGGCACTGAGGAACACCTAGGGGAGAAGGCAAGTCTCAGCCTCCTGCCCAGACATCTCGTTGCTGGTTTTGACCTGAATGGCAAATCCCATCTCCTGCACTTGGGAGCCCAGAGGGTTATCCTGAGGGAGGGAGAAGCTGTCTGGATAAACCGAACAACTCATGGTGGCTTCTGCAAAGTTCCCACAGCTGCTGAATGGCTACTCTGCAGGTGGCCCAAACTCTCAAGGAATTGCAGAGCTTCTTCAATTGCCATTGATCTGAAGTGCTATTTATTGCGAAATCTGGTGAGCAAAGCTTCCTATGGGTACCCCGAACCACCAGCTCTTGTGGTTCCTGGCAGGGCTCAGCACCACCACGGAGCTGTACCTTTGCAGCCACGCGGCTCAGCTCCACCGAGAGGTCACCACCGGTGTTGCCAATGCCAACCACGAGGACTCGCTTTCCCCGGAAAGCCTCCACATCTCTGTATTCCCGGCTGTGGAGGTACTGGCCTTTGAAGCGAGTATCAATACCTAGGCAGAGAGCAGGGAGCACCTCCTACTATCAGATACAGTTGCTTGCCCCAGCCTTGTGCCCGGACCCTCTGCAGCTTACAACCCTCCACCTCCCACTTCTGCTTGCAGCTGGGAAGTCCATGGAGGTCTTGGCTCCCTGGGTGATGCCACCCTCCTGCACCTCCCCAGCTCAGTCCTGCTTTGCAAATTCACATGCAAGAGCTTGGCCGCATCCTTATAAGGTGCTTTTCCCATTGCTGGGAATGCTCCCTGCCATTCCCTTGAGGTGAGGGTCCCACCTGCCCCAGGCTGGGGGCTTCGTCAAGCAGGCAGGCTTGCAGAGGGAAGTGCAGCCAAAGGACCCATGGATGCTGGGTGAAACTCTGGAGGGCAGCCCCAGCCCACCCCGCTGCTGAGTCAGGGCTCACCTGGGAAAGAAGCCAATGGTAAGTAGGGCTCCTGGTAATTGCCAGTGCAAACCATGACGGCATCGAAGATGTGTGACTCCTTGATGCCGTTGGTCTCGGTGACCACCTTCCATTGGCCCGAGGTGGCGAAATCCGGGCGCTTCCTCACTCTGAGAACTGTAGTCTTGCATCAAAGCCCAACAAAACAGCAGTCAGGGACTGCGCTGCATTTTGGAGAGGACCTGCCTGCAAAAGGCTGGGGCTGCCAGGGGCAGGCTGGTCTGACAGGGACAGGCTGGATCCCCATGGAGCTGCATGTCACCTCTGAAGCTGTTAAATCCCACCCTGCACCTTTCCCCTGGTGATGTCATTGAGCTGGGGAATGCACCAGGCAGCCCATGTTCAAGTAGCCTAATTTAAAACATGCAGCCAAAAATGCTGTGTTCAGGATGCAAAAGGCATGTGGTCCTCACGGGATCGCACCCAGCATTGTCCTTTCTCGCTTCAGTGATGCCCTGGTGTCTGCCACTGATGGCTTTTCTCCCTGTGGTGTTTGGGGTCCCCACTCACCTTGAAGCGTATGTGCTGCAGGAGGTTGAAGTGTCTGGCATACATCCGAAAGTACTCCAGGAGGAGGCTGTGGGGTAGGTAATTGGGAAAATCCTCCGGGCAGGGGAAGTCACTGAAGCAGGACATCTCCTTGGAGGTGTTGGTGATGACCGAGCGGTACACGCTGACCCTCCCACCATCCGTGGAATCCTGTGTGAAGCCAGTAGTGCCATTTGCAGGTGTGCAGGGAAGGACTTTCTCCCCCCAAAGTATTTGAGTATTTTTCCTCCTTGTATTCAGTTACAAGGAATAAACCTGTACTAGCACCTTGTGACCATGGTTTCTGCTTTCTCCATCTCCTTCTCCACCTTGGAGTCAGGGGGAACCCTATGCCTGGGACAGGGATGGTCCCCAAGGGCATGGCCACCCTTTCCTCTCTGCTGCAGGCAAAGGGCATCTGAGGGAGGGGACTAACCCGGGGACAATCCTCCCCATGCAGGCAGAGCCCACTGACCGTGTAGCGCCAGAGCCCCCCGATGTCCTCAGTCCTCTCGAAGCAGGTGGGCTCCAGCCCCTCATCCAGGCAGCACTTGATGGATGCCAACCCACCGACTCCAGCCCCAATAATGGCCACACGCCGCACCATGCTGTCCTGCAGCAGGCAATGGGCAGGTGTGTGAGCAACTGAAAATAAAATAGCCCAGGGATTAGCAGAAACACCAGTCCTTTATTCCCATTCCCAGCAAAACACCCCTGGTCTTCTCTGGCTGCAGGTGTCCATGGAGGAAAACTGTCCTTGCAGGAAGCCATTGGCAGCTCCTGACTTGAGCGTTATGGATGGACGCTGCTCATCACCCTTCCTGCTGTGCTAAGTGCACACCGAGGGCCCAGCGATTCCCCTTCTGCAGGCGGGGGAAAAGGAGGCACTTTTAAACCTTGCTGCACTGCTGCTTCTATTTATTCCCTTTCTGGGCCCAAACCAGGGCATGCAAAGAAGGGGAAAGGGCTCACAGCTATCTGCTTCTGCCTGCACAAAGTGATACTCCTGAAACCTTTTCAAGGAACAATTTCAGTCAAGCTGGCTTGTTTTCACGCTTTCCTCTTTAATTTCCCATTAAAAGGCATTCTCCTGCAAACAAAAAGGTTTTTTTTTTTTTTTTTTTTTTAAAAAAAGTGATGCCTGACTGAGCAGGAGCATGGCACAGCGATTCAGAAGTTAGACAGCAGTATGAAAGTGCAGCTGGGATTACAGAATATACAAAAGGTAAGAAACCCAGGAAACGCAGGGTATAAATGAGAGGAACTCAAAGCTTGGAGTGTGTAAACTGAGCTGCACTGAGCTTGACTGGAAAGCAAAGAAACTAGGAAAAAAATGAACCCATGTGAACTTTGATTAGATAACAAACATTCCTACTGCAGAGTCTGAAGAAAGAGTCGTAACTTTTTTCCTACCTGTTTTGTGTCAAAAAGTAAGCTAACATAAACAGGAACCGGATGGAACTGCAGAAAGCTAGGGAAAAAAGGAGGAGGCACGAAAACCCCCCTCTGCATCCAAGCCTGAGCCACTCCTTGATTTGCAGGAACAGGGCAGGACATACCAACACTCCCCTGCCCCCCATTTCCGGAGGAGTCTCCCTTGGCTTTGGGAACCGGTAGCGATGTGCCCAGGGTGCTAGAGTCACCCCTCTTTTCCCGTGCTGCCTACAGATGGGTTTGCTCTGGAGGGTCCCCACAACACTCCCTCTCCCTCTGCCAGCAGCGAGGCAAAGCCGGTGGTGAATGCCAAATCCCAGAGAGCTGGCTGCTCGGTTTTAAAGCCCGCAAAACCCGGGGGGAGAGAAGCGAGGAACCAACCTTGAGGGGCAGTGCCGTGCCTTCACTGCTCAGCCTTCAGCCGAACTTTGCTTCAAGTTTCTCCAGCCACAGATTTAAAGGAAAGGCTGAAGTCCAGGCAGCTCGCCACAGCTCTTGTACTACCGACCTTTATACCCGTGCTCCCCCACCCTGCTACGTTTAAATGTGCTGCCAGGAAGTTCTCAACATCCCTGCTGTGGTGCCGAGTGGAAATCCAGACTGTAATCCCAAGGGGACTGCGCTTGTGAGGACTCCCGTGCTGCAGCTTGCTGCTGCTCCAGCCCTGTCAGCAGCCTGGGGTTGTCCTGATCCATCCCACCGTGTGCTGCCTGTGCTGGGCAGACGCTTCCTTGGCATCCCCAGGAAGTCAGCGAAACACGCTCCTTTTGCCCGCATGCCAGCAGGCAGCAAGGATGGAGGATGCAGTGCAGCCTAATTTTTGGTGTCAGTGAAAGCCCTTGCAGCCCCAGGCTTGCGCGTTGCCTGCAGCACCTGCTGGCACGGCCCCAGGCCAGGCCCAGGACCCCCAGCTCTTCCCGTGCACACAGGGAGACAAGAAGTCAGCAGCTTGGAGCATGCTCCTGCCACAGCCCATGAAATTTTATTGATTGAAAGCCTCGCCGTGCACAAAATGAAGCCCCGGGATTCTCCAGTGGCGGGGTGCGCAGGGAAACAGCCAGGAGCACCCAGCCCCACAGGGTACCAGCCTGGTCTTTGAGCGACAAACTGCTGCAACCAGGGCCCTTTTGCTGGAAGGATGCACTGATTCAACCCGAACTGGGATTTTTGGGTCATAGGGTTTCAGGTCGGAAGGAGGAACAGCCTGACCTGCGTACCCAGCCCAAAGAACCCCTTGCTGGACTGAAGACCCTGGTTCCTAGGTGATTTGGGGCAGGTCTGGGCAGCTGTGCTCCTTTCCATCTGCGACACGCAAAGCCATTTCTGTTAGTCTTGTCCTCACTGCATCCTAGCCAGCATGGTCCAGGCATGGCCGTGCCACAGAGCCGTGCTCTGCTCACAGCAGCAGGCAGGAGAGCAGCAGAGGGGCAATAAATGCTGGGGGAGGCTGCCATCCCCAGCTAACTGGGTCTGCAAAGCTATGCTTGGGGGTGAGCTGGAGCAGAGAGAGATTTGTGCTGCTGGTTAAAGTTTTAAATTTGTTGCGATTTGCTGAAATCCCTTTCCCCCCTCTCCCATGGCACTCTGTGAAACTGTCTGACCTGAGATAATATCCCCAAGGACAAGGAAAAAACTAAACAGGCTCTAAAATCTACTGGAAACTGAAAACCCAGGCAGCCAGGAGCAGGAGAAACCCCACCACAATCAGTAGACAAGGGCAGGTGTTGGAGGAGCTGGCGGGGACTCGTGTTCTCGTGGGCTTCAGGGTCCGGTCCCACTGGGTGAGGATGGCCTGGCGTGCCCCCTCCCAGCGCTCCCCCGGCCCCCCCCAGCCGGTACTGGTAGGGGGTGCAGGGGCCGAAGAAAACAGTAAGGGCCAGCCGAGGGTCCCTGCAGAGCAGGCCCAGCACACTGGGCTTGGCACCGATGAAAGAGGCGATCTTGTCCATGTAGGCGAGCCACTCGGTTTTCAGGACTTCATCGAAGGACAGACCGAACCTTAAAGAATTGAAGAAGAAAAAGAGGTGAGAGTAGGACTGGTGTCAGAGGAGCTGAGAGGTACTAGAAGTCAGATCCTCTGTGTCTGCATTGTTACTGCATCGCAATGCAGCTGGGTTCCTCTTAGGAAAGGACTGGGCTTACGTGCAGTGGGAATGAGGGTCTGTCCAGGCCTGCATCCTGCCCGTGACAGAGCACGTGTAAAAGTGATGCTGGCTCTGTTACACACCTTTCTCATGTGCACCAGTTGGTCCTTCATTTCATCACCTACAAGTTGTATCTAGACCCCCTGTCTTCACTTTGGTGAACCTTCTCTAAATGACTTTGTCAAACAGTACTGTTTTGTTTTGGTTTGTTTGTTTGTTTTTTTAACCAGTTTCCCTTTGCTCTCTGCAGAGAAGTCACATGCAGCATGAGAAAGGCAGCATTCTTTAGTTTCCTTCACATTCATTGCCACCAAGTATTGCAAAAATGCATGGTGAATTGGAGAATTGCTTCCCGCACACCTTCTCTGCAGAATCCACAGCTTCATGTCCCACCTTGGGTGGGCTGAAAAAAAGCCACGTGTGTTTATCCTTGTATTGTACAGCAGTTGTTCTGTGCAATCCTGTTTTTTCACTCTTCTGTACCTTTTCTGCTGTAGTGATCTAGGTGAACCATGGATTGATATATCGCCCAGTTTTCTGGTTTTATTTCATTCATTTCCTAATCTGGCCTTTGATCTGACCTTTTCCCTGCCCGTGAACCACAGGCTGGTGTGCTTAGACACCTCTTCACAGTGAGTCAGATATCCATGCTGAGAGGTGAGACAATTTGTATGTACACCTCGGGCTGGCTTTTTTTTTTTCACCCTGCTGAATTACTTTGCATTTATTATCATTAATTTCTCTGCCGTTTTATCTCTCAGTCCCTGGGGACCCTGGCGCACTTCCCCAACTCACAAACAAGCTTTGGTCTCAATTACCCTGAATTAATTTCTTACCATCATCAACAGGCAAAACATCAGTGTCAAATCAAAGGTTACATTGGCTCAGTGCAAGTGAATAAAGGGGTGGCTGGATCTGGGCATCCCCTCCTCACCTCTGCTGTATGTGCAGGGAGCAGCTGCGGAGTGTAAGCCTGTGTGTTGCTGCCCCCCTCAAACTCCAGGGGCTTTCAAATGCCCTGAAAAACCTTTGGGGCTCTAGGGAATGTCTTACCATTGCACTTGGTTTTTGTTCTTCTCATTTACTTCCTTCTCCATGACAGATCGAGGAGGCAGCCGACACAAGCCTAGAAGAGAGAGGAGAACATCCCACAGAGTTTAACTCCTGAGGGGACTTGTGAACTCATTCAGTGATGCAAAACGTGGGAAGCCCTTCTCCAGAAGGGCAGGAAAGCCTCTGCTCAGGTTTAGCTCAGCAGTGGCAATTCTGCCCTCCACAGTGGTACAAATTCACCCGCACATTTTCCTGCTTTTATAGATTTGTGCTGTCAGGGCACAGCCAGATGATGTGTGATGAGCTGGGCCATGCAAGCCCCAGAAAGGATCATCCCAAAGATAAACCCCAGAGCTTCCCCTGGCTCTGTGGAAGAGCCTTGGTTGAACCACCCACACCAGCAGAGTGGGAGGTTATTTTTTAAAACAAAACAAAACAAAACAAAACCAAAACCCCCAGTAGGTTTCTTTCCTCACCCCAATAATTACAAATAATTCCTCATGTGGGACAATGGGACTCTTCTCCTCTGGCAGTCACGGTGGACAAACCACCCTGTCCCTTAAAGAGCAGTGAATTCTGCCAGTATGGATCCACCTCAGTATCTTAAAGACATCTTTTACCTGTGCATCCGGGTTTACATATCCATGTCTGTGCTCTGACTTCTAAAATATTTTAGAGACAAAATACTGCCTTGAAGAACCTACTTTAGACCAAGGTTTGCAGGCTCAGGGGCAGGACTGCACGTCAGCTGAGTCACAGCTCTTGGCTTGCAGCAGGTGAGGTACAAAGCATTAGCTTAAAAGCATCAGCTTAACAGGGAAAAAAAAAGTGATTTAAGGTAGACGTCATGAACTTGCATGTGGTTTGGACCAAGCATGCGCTCATGTCACTGTAGCTCAGCTGAAGGGAAATAATTTGGGAAGCCTGAGGCCTAGACATGTTCCTGTGTCCATTTTGAAGTGGGCATCTTAGCTCTGGATTTTCCAAGGACAGAAATCCCTCTTGGTGCATAGAGAGGACAAGATGCGTGCAGACTGCGCTTCGTTTTGGTACACAGAAGAGCTCATGTTAGCTCTCCTACCTTTGAATACGCGGGTTGCCCAGCGTGCTTGCATCTCTGTCACTGGCATCATGGCTCCTAGTGTCTTGATCAGCCCAATGACAGCCAGTGTGGGCCTCTGCAGGTCGGTTGGGAACATGTATTTGTAGAGGGACACGTGGTTCTTTTCCACCGTGACAACTGCTTCTTCTAGGAACGGGAAGGAGATGTTGTAACCCGTGCAGAAGACGACAATATCAATGGGCTCCTCCTTAGGGCAATTGTGGAAAACAACTGAGTTGTCCTTGAACTCTTTCACGCCTGGCTTGATGGTGATCCTCCCCGTCAGGATGTAGCTTGGAAGATCATCGTTCAGCACAGGCTCGCGCACCAGGCAGCTGTGGAGAGCCAAGGGGCTCTGAGTGTTGGAGACCACATACAAGCCCTGCTAGTGCCCCTGCTGCTCCCCCTGGGCCCTCCAGCCTTACAACCTCCTGGTGTCACTTGCTCTGAGCAAACAGCCCTGCCTCCCCCCTCTCCAAACACTGACATGTTTCACCCTTGTGCCAATGTCACCCTGTCCCAGAGCCTGAGTGACTCATGGACATCTCCTGCCTTCTTCCTCCATTCACTCAATTACTCTTTAAACCATCTCTTTTCAGAGCCTAGCCATGCTTTAAGCCTCCCTCCTCCTTTTTTCCCAGGAACCCTCATAAGGAAAACTCCTCTGGTCCTTCCTGGCTGGAAAAGCATGCTCCATCTCTCACCACCTAAAAGGGCTACAGCTTATCTTCTCCCACTGGGCTACAAACTCCTCACTGGAGATCAGCCCAGTCTGGGTGTTTGCTGCATTTGTTGATGTTGTTTTCTTGAGATCTCCCCCTACCTGCAGCACAAGCCCTGTAACAACACATAGGATGGGAGCCAGCAAGAAGTACCTCTTCTCTGGTTGAAGACCATAGTTTTCATGATTGAACCACCGGTTCACCTTGTAGTCGAGCAACCTCCGTGAAAGGGGTCCGGGGAGGCCATTTCTGATCAAGCTCATAAGGCGAGTGTTCAAAACCATGTCCCATGGGTAGCCATGTTCAAACACCCGGCTGAGCAGCCAGGCACCTCGACTTGTGGAAATGGTCACCTGGGAGAAAGCAGAGAATTAATGATTTGGGTGATTAATTTGCTGCTTTGCCTTTGTAAAGTAACCCCAGAGGGGCACAGCACAGACAGCTACACAACAAAAAAGAAGCAACAGCATCTTTAAGGCCTCCCAGCAGCTGGCGATGGAGGTGAAACAGGAGAGAACAACCAGCTTTCTTTCAGGGTGGGTTTTTGACTGAGAAATACGGGTTCAGAAATACTGTTTGGACACCAAGCAGGGTAAACACAGCTTGCTTTCCCTGTAGTGATGGCAAACTTATGTATTGCCCCCAGCATCACCCTCCCCATATCCCTGGGGTGGCTAGGTGGTGGCACCTTTGCGGCTACACGGCTGGCCTCCACTGCGATGTCCGCTCCCGAATTGCCCATGCCGACCACGAGGACACGCTTCCCCTGAAACACGTCAGGATGCTTGTACTGCCGGCTATGAAAGTACTGGCCTTGAAACCTCTTGATGCCTTGGGGAAAAAGACACAAAGCTTTTAATTACTTGAGCATTTATGGGTTTTTTTTTGTTGGGACAACTGGCGTAGAAACAATCCAGATGGCAAGAACAAGGAAGTGCAATCACTGGCCACTGGGGACTCAGGAAGGTCCAGCCCTCCATCTCGTGCATACAGAGTTGGTGCTTCCTCTCCAAAATGGGGTCTCACACATCCCTGTGCAGCAGCAAGCAGGGACACATGTGCTGGGTGGGACTTGGAAGACAGTTACATGCAAGAGCTCTGCTGGTGCAGTTTTGGGATTCAGCCTTTACAAGGTGGGGATGCAAAGGTTCAGAAAAACCTGTAAACCTCTTCTCCTGTCCTAGAAGCAGCTTCAGAAACACTTGATAATGCTGATGACAAGGCAACTCTCTCTATGCTGACAACTGGGGACATTTGTCACAGCAGTGATGAATACAGCCCTGTCAAAGATGATGGAGCTTCGCTGAGAGGACCTTGTCCCATCTCGCATGCTGTGCAGACAGTTTTGCTGAGACTAAATCATCCTACCTTGGAAGTTTGCTCTGAAATAACCGGTGCCTGCAAAGACAAATCTGCTGAAGCATGATGATATATTGCTGTTCATGCCAGGAGGTTTGAAAACCAGAAGCAAGGAAAAAAAGAAAGGAAGGGTTTTTCCTGAGGAGCCACAAACCCATCTCCCTCCAGCCCCTGGAAGCAGGTAACTGCAGGCAGCCACATATGGTACCAGGAAAAGAGTGCAGGGGCAGGAATGGCTCGGAGAAATTGCCGCTGCAAACCATAACAGCATCGAAAATGTGAGATGTCTGCTTCCCATCTGCCTCTGTGACCACATCCCACTGGCCCGTGGTGGCAAAGTTGGGGTGTTTTCGGATGCTGACAACAGTGGTCTGAAATGTGGAAGGCAAGCAGAGTCATTACTGGTGCCTGGCATGAATAAGGAGCAGGGCAGTGCCGAGGCACCCATCACTCACCCCTAATTTGATGTGCTTGCGAAGGCCAAAGCGCTCAGCATAGAGCCGGAGGTAGTCCAGGAGCTGGGCATTGGGCAGGAACACCGGGAAGTCCTCAGGGTAGGGGAAGTCAGAGAACACGGACATCTCCTTCGAGGTGTTGCTGATGACCGACGGGTACAGGCTTGGCCGGCGGGCCTCAATGTGCTCCTGGCGTGGCACCCCAGGGTACATCAGCCCTGCACCCCAGGTTGGGGACAGCCCCCCGACTCCCGTTCCCCTGGTCTCAGAGTGCAGCCAGGAGAGGTCAGCACCCAGAAAGCTCTTGCATCCCTTCCCCGTCTGCTGGAGCCCAGCTCAACCTGCTCCCCAGCCTACAAAGCTGCAGCTCCTATGAGAAGGAGGACAGGCACCCCAGCTCACCGTGTAGCGCCAGAGTCCTCCGATGTCCTGGCTCTGCTCGAAGCAGGTGGGCTCCAGCCCTTCATCCAGGCAGCACTTGGTGGCTGCCAGCCCACTGGTGCCTGCACCCACCACTGCCACTCTCATCCTCGCTGTCTCCACTGGGTTCTCAGGCTGTGAATGGGGCTTAACCTGGGAGAAATCCCACAGACAGTTACTGCCCTCTCAGGGAGCAGCTGCTGGCAAACCCTCTAAAGCAGATTTCTCTATATGCCACCCCCATATGTTCATTCCCTTTACCAGTATTCTGGGCTCTTAATTTACAAGTTAGGTTAAATGTCTTCAAATCTTAGTGTTCTCTGTTTTCTTTTTTTTTTTTTTTTTTTTTTTTTTTTTTTTTTTTTTTTTTAACAAATCCATCCACTTTCACAGTGTAGTCACCAGGCTGCTTCCAAAACCCTGCAGTTTCTCTGGAAACTCACTTTAAAAGTATGTGGTTAAGCCATAACTCACTGCCAATTTTTATTTACAAGCTGTGTTTAAACTATCCCTTCTTATCAGTCTTGCAAATATTTGTATTTTATCTTTGGAGAAGTGCCCCTGCCTTTCTCAGAAACGTAAACAAAATGTGCACTGGGACTGTTCAGTCTCTGTATCACTGACTGGGTCCTGTCCTCCGTCCACAGGAAAGACCCTGCCAACTTGGACATGGCCACTGAGGTTGATGGAGGGGCTGCAGGTGTAGCACACCTTGGCTTTAGGGATGCTTTTTTGTCTGTCTCCAAAAGCCACCCTCCTGAGGAGGTCTGGGCTGGATGGACAGGCTGTTGCAGGGCTGCAAATGGGGGCTTGAAAGGCAGCAGTCCCTGGGTTGACGTCCAGCCCTACAAGGCTCCCAGGGCTGCAGTGGAGATGATAGACCCGAACCCTTCTTGATAGTGCCAGGCAACAAAACACGGGATGATGGCCAGGTGCCGTGGTTTGGGCTGGACATTGCCAGAGTGAGGACCACCATGTCTGCACCTTGAGGGTGCTGGTGCAACTCTGGTTTAACTCCAGAGCTGGCAGGAAGCACCCCCCTCAACTGAGTAATTAACCTGGCGTACCAGAGTGGCACTGTGGCCAGGTGGCACGGGCTTCTCTGCCTCGAGGAGCACTTTCAGGTTCCACCAGACGCAGAGGATGGTGTACTCATCAGAAAAAAAAAAAGGTCTTCAGTGGAAAAATGGGGCTAGACACAATATTTTCTAAAATTCACCAGGTTCCCTATGAACAATTTCTACTTTCAGTAGGAAGGCAGCACGTAATGAATACTCTGCTTTCCAAGGATGGAATGAAAACTGGACTTTTCCCTTTTTAAATGAAGAAAGCACTATCATAAGCTGCTCATAGTTAACTGTTTTGGGAGGAGATGGGGTCTTGCATGGTGGGAGTTAATTTATATCATAAACATCTTCCAGCTTCATATGCTATTTAATTCCCTACCCTTTTGCAGAGAAGCTAGATATAACACCCAGAAAATACTTTCTGCTACTCCGTGCCTGTTTCTGCCACACTTTCCATACTGTCCCTGAAAGTATTTGTAGCAGCTAACCTCAAGAGTCTCAGACCATGGGGTACTTGTGTTGGGCACGGAGGGATGGAAATGTGTTACAGCCCCCCTGGGGACACTTACCTCCCAGCCTCAGCTGCCTGTGCTCCGTCTCGCCGCTGCAGTGTGGAGAGCCCCTCTTGCTCCTGATTTATAGGCGCAGTGCTTTGGCAGAGGCAGGGGAGGCCGGGTGGCTCCCCCCACTCCACAGCAGTTGCACAACCCGGGTTTGCAGTGGGAGGAGTGGCTGGACTTTCCTGCAGTCATGTGGGGAGGGCGGGACAGCCCGGCTGATGATCTCTAAAGGGGATCGAGTGGGTGGGAGAGACCGGAATGGTCCAGATGTGTCCCGCAGCCATTCAAGGAGGACCTGTGCGTACAAGGGTGGCTGCAGCTGTGGGATGTTTTCACTTACATAAAGGTTGCCTTCCAAAAGGGAGCCAAAGTGTCTGATAGACAGCAGGGTTTTGGCAGGACTTTGCACCCAAGGCACCTTTCAAAAAAAAGAGCTGGTTTTTCGGCCACAGCTCACGGAGGCTGTGTCGTGCCATTGACCACATGTACAGCTGCTGCTGGTGAGCAAGAGGCTCCCCATGCAAATTGGGTGACTTTGAAATGGCCCAAAACACCAGCGTACCAAGGTCCTAAGCACAAAGAAAGCAGAAACGTTAGCAGAAATATCAGTGCAGGACATAACACCCATCCAGGTATCTCCCAGTGGAAAATGATCATGGAAATGCAGGGAAGAAGGGTGGCTTTAGACTGGGCTTTTCCCCCAGCTGCTTAATATATTTAGGGGTGACTGGTGACAAAGTATGAAATCTCTGCAAATGAATACAGGTGGACACAGAGGCCATGGAGAGACAGCTGATAGAGGACTGGGTCTCTAGGAAGACCAGTGTTTATAAAAAGTCATAGTGATATTTGTGCCATGGGGGTGATGGCAGATATCTCTCTGAGGCTCTGCAGCGTAAGAGCAGGGGATGCAGTGAGAGCTGCTGGCCTCATCAAGGCATCACCTTGCCGTTGACAAAGGCGCCCCCAGAGCAATGGGCCCAGATTTGACATCAGCTGTTTAAGCAGTTTGAATAACTAGGGAGGCTGCAAGGGAGGGGAAGAAAAACCCATCAGAGGTCTGCAGAACAGAGGGTGGTAAATAAAGCGTCTCCATCCAACAGGGGCGTCTGCTCAGAGCCTGTGTTCAGATCTGCAGGGGCACTAGATGTGCCTGTAGCTGGGAGTTGAAACTAGAAGTGGAAATAAGATGCACGTTGGTAACAAGGAAGGTAACTAACCATAGGACAAGTCTGCTGAGCTTTGTGGTGGATCCAGGCCCTTGAATAAAACGTGTCTGGTTTGTGGAGGGACAGGACTTACCACCCCTGTGCAGACTCACTGCCAGGAGTGCGGCAGCCTGGGCTGCCATTCGTCTGCATCACCCACAAAGAGACATCGGCCTTCTCACGCTTCACTACCCCAAGATCTCCAGCTGTTTCTGCTCCTGGGTTTGCCTCTGGGAGCACATCGAGTTTGGAGCACATCCCCAGTCTGGGGCCGGCTGTGCCAGCCATATTCCAGCACAGCTTGGAGGGCTGAGAGCGATGGGCTTATCAGGGGTGGAGCCTGACAAATCAGGCTTTTTGTTTGAGTTCAGGTTTCAGACCACTGTCAGCAGTGTGAAGAAATATTCAGATTTTGCTCTCCCAGGCCAGTGGGACACGGTTACTGAGGCAAATGGGCAACAAGCCTCGCACATCTTTGATGCTGTTGGGGTTTGCACAGGCTATGTCTCCTAGCTCTCCTTCCCACTGTACTCTTTTTCCAAATGCACAAAACCTTGCACCTGCTTAGATGCTTGCCAGCACTCAGCAAAAAACCTGTAAGTAATCCACAAAGGCACATATTTTGTTCTTTATATGCTCCTGCTTTTCAGCAGGCATCCAAGTGACTTGTAGTTAGAGGCACACTGTGGCAGCTTCCCAGGAGTGGCGTTAGTGCTTTTGAGAGGGCAGTTCAGGGAAGCTTTCTAAAATAATGAGTTATATTTGAATGATGAGCTACTGGCTTAGAAATGGGTCCAGATGCCTTTGCTGCAGCTGCTTACAGCAGTGTGTCTCTGGCCATCCCTGATGGGGAATCCAGTTTGGAGGTGTAGTAAGTGATACTGCATAGGTCTAGGATAGAAACACCTCCAAAGCCTCAGTGCTCTGGCGTTAAAACTCACTTTCCTGTGATGTGCCTCAGGTCTGTGGTGTTCCCCTCCACAAATACCCCTTCGGTGCTCTGGACCAGGTATGCAGATCAAAGTATTAGTGGAGATGGACAAGTTTGACAGGAGGGAGGTAATTATTGTATTATTGTAATACTATGCACATGCAGGCTCAGGGCTGAAAAGCCCTTAGAAAGACACAGGGAAATTCTCGTTGCTTTACTCACCTCTGTTGCAGGCATAGCAGGGGATGGCATCCTGGGATACCTGGGACCCATCTCTCCAGCTTCTCTCCAGGGACAGTCTGTAGAGCAGAGAAGAGAAGAGACTAGAATAGACAACACATCAGTGGGTCTTTATGTGTTCTCAGGGCTGGAAAAAGCCTTTATGGCCTGGCATTCAAGCAGAGCATCCCTTGGTACTTTTGGGTTCCTCCCCCCAAATTTCTGTCATTGCAAAGACAGAGGTCCCTGTTCCCATTTCTGAGCAAGCAGGATCTGCTGCTGCCTCATGGGGGAGGGAAGGTGACCTTGCTGTCATCACCGCACATACAAATTGCTGGGGAAAATGGGCTTTCACCAAGTGATGGGCTGAGGCCAAGTGAGGGCACATAATTTGGGGAACTGTTTTACCACCTTCCCTCTACCCAGCCTGGAACACCAAACAGCTGGGTTTGTCTGTATCCTCACATGCTGGGGCACAAGCCCTGTTCGGTACCAGGGGTGCATCAGTCATGGGGGACTGTGAGGAGAACAAGGAGCAGTAAATAACCGATGGTAGCTCAGGGCAAGAACCAGGAATGGGATGCTGACATGCCTGCCCATTGGTGAGCCCCTTCTGCCCTTCAGGAGCAAAGCTCCCTGGCCCCATGGCGCAAGCCTGGGCTCTGTAATGGGCTTTTTATCCTTAAATTAGAGTGAAGGAAAAACTTAAAATATCAATTTAGACTTACTCAGATGAGAAAGGCACCTTCCGGCATCAGTTTTATCATCTCTGTTTAAAATCACATATTAAGCCAAAGAGGTGCAAATCTATGTACAAACAAGTCTCAGCAGCACCCACTTTGCTGTTTTCTAGGTTCGTGTCAGCAGCTCTTGGCATGTGTCATGGTGAAGGCGGACAAGAAAAAGAAAAGAGTGGAGTTTCTTGGTAAGCCAGTCTCTAAGCAAAGCAGGGTGCTCACCATCAAGTAGCTGCTGCCACCACCACACATACTCAGGAGCTGACAGAATGTAGGGTCTGGGATCATCAGTAAACACTTAATTTTCCCCTCTCCAATATTATCGCTGCCTCCACCTGCTGACCATAAGGATTTAATGGCCATCTCTTTACTGCACACAGAGGAGA